TGCGCCCCACCCTCCCTCCTCGGCCGCCGGCGCCCTTCTCCCCTCTCCAACAAAGGGGCAGGCCGGCGGCGGGGAGGAGGAGGAGGAGCCCGAGGAGCGAGCCGCTCGCGCACGAAGTTGTGGAGTCGCCTTTCCTCAGAGGAGGGAGCGCGGAGCGGGCAGCCGCAGCCTGCCGCGGGCTTTCTCCCGCCGAGGGGCGAGGAGGAGCCTCTGGCTCCCGAAGCCGATTGGGGAATCACGGGCAGCGGTGCCCCCCTTCTTTCGGGTCATTTCTGCAGACGGAAACTCTCTAGTGTTTGGCAAACTTGGTGCCTGCGCGCCCGTTCCAGGTTTGCACTTGGACTGTTTTGTTTTTGGTTTTTGGCGGAACTACGGGGCAGGAAGATTGCACAAGTGAGGGGCGTTTTCAGTCGGGTGTCAAAAAATTTTTTTTCTTTTGAATCTTGTCTGGTTTTCCATATTTCCTTGAAAACAAACAAACAAACAAAAAAACGACGCACAGAGCCCACACTCACACACACGCCTGCGGTTACTACGTCCCGAACACACCACAGAAGCCCTCGGCCCTCCTGGGACACGGCGGCGGCGGCCGCAGGCGAGGCGGGCCCGCGGGTCACGGAGCAGGTAAGCCCATGCATTATTACGCCTCCGGCTAGGTAATGCGACCACAGCCCCGGGGAAATGGGGTGTAGGCTGCGGGGGGGGGGGTGGACTTTTCTGCGGCTTCTGCACCTAGGATCAGCGTCCCGAGCTCCTTCTCAACATTGAGTCCAAGATGTTACCAACTTTTGCGAGCACCTTCCTCGTAACCCCCGTTCAGTTCCCCACGGCGGGATAGAGAATGCCAGAAACGTGGAGAGAGCTCGGACAAGAAGGTCCTGCGGATCCGTTCAGTAGCGAACGACCCAAACGCCCCCGACTGGTTCTGGGCTGCCTCTCGATTCCCGCAGTTTTCCTCTCCTCTGGGATGAGAGGGTCACTCATCTGTGCCTTGCGCGGTGAGTGGGCCAGTGATCTCCAAGAGGGGACGTGGCTTCCTAGGAGGGCCTGTCACACACCCAGCCCAGGGAAGGCGGGGCCCGGAGGTGTCCGCAAGGACAGGGTGGGGAAGGGTTCCCAGCCATCCGCCTGGCAGGAAACGTGCTGAACTCCGGGCCGTTGCTGCTCCCGAGGGTGGGGCTTTGGAGAGGGGGCGAGGGGCGCTCACTCCGTGCGTAGTCCCGCGCGGTCTCCTCTTCTGGCTTTCCGGACCCTTGGCATCTCTTGCTGCAACTGGTAAGGTAATTCATGCCCCTGTGTGGCTCCAGTTCCGAGGTTCTAGTTGCCCAAAGCCACTTTAAAAACCAGGACAACACTAATTTTAGGCGATGCAACTTTTACAAGGCACGCTGTTAAAAGTAAAATGTTTTCTCCAAGCCCCAGATTACGAGAGGGATTCGTTCCAGGGTTGTTTCAAGGGGAGGAGAAAACGTGCCCGACTTCCAAGAGCCAGGGCCCCCCCACTTTTGCTTTACATTGAACTGGGGAGCTCCGGGTCTAATCTAACAGCCCCGGGGAGAGTCTCCTCTGTACCAGCCTCCAGGTCACCTGGGAGGGTCAGTTGCCGTGGCCGGCGTGAACCGAGTTCGGGGGAGTCCCGATTCCCGGGGTCCGGGTGGGAGCTCGTGGCCCCTGGGACACCTGGCAGCAGCCGCACCAATTCCTTTGTAACTTGCATGGGCCTCGGGAAGTCGGGTGGGTGGGCCCCTCTGGGCTGGTTGCTGGTGGCCGGGAGGAAGCAGGCTGCCGATAGCGCCGCGAGTCAGGCGAGAGCTGCAGGAATGCGAAGCTCGTGGGTGCTTCAGCTTCCGAGGACCCGGCGGCGAGGGCCACGGTTTACGCGGAGTCATTCCCCGCCCCCTGGTCCACATTTATGGAACCGATGAGACAGCTCTTTAACTCTCCTTCAGGTGTTTACCTAAATTTATTGCCCCTTTACACAGTATTAATCACACCAGTATGAACCTTCCCTTGGAGCGCTTCCGAGAATGAATGGCAGTTTTGGCCCTGGGCGGTGTCTTTCACTAAGTTTCATGCACAGCGGCAAACTGGCTCCTTGGGCTTCCCTTTCCAGAATCTCTAACATTCTTAGGTTTGGGTTCCCAGTGTAAATGAATGAATAGGTTTTTTGCCTAAGGCTTTCACTGTATTTCCATCATAACTGCACATTGTTAAACATGTTTGTATTCTCACATTTTGTAATTTCCAAAATTAAAAAAAATTATAACATTAGTTTTCCTTTAAGGCCATCCTCCATACTTTCAACCTAGGTTTATGGCCGCACACTCCTGGCTTCTGGTCCATATGACAGCCAGAGATGTTCTGAAGACAGAATTGGTGAATGTAGAGTCCAGTGTGGGTTTCAGTGAGAAAGAGCTGGCTAAACTTTGCAGAACATCATTATGAGGAAACAGAAGATAGAGCAGAGGTAACAGTTAAGTTACAGTTGTAAAGAGCTGAACACTTGTAAAGCAATATCCCATTCATTTATTCTTTTTCTCACCTAGCTTGGTGTGGCAGACCACCTGGCTTCTATACTATAAATGTGTAAGTGGAGGGTCACACATTGTTAGTGATGAAACTTTGATCCTTTCTCCTGACAACCAGTAATAAAATTGCTGCCGTATGGTACTCAATCTGGCGACCCCTGACCGTTGGTGGCAACAAGTGGCAGTCAGTGGCTGTGTGTCACTGGTAAAATGGTCTTCTGTGATACTCCCTTCTTCTCATTCTTTTCTTGTCCTCTGATCTCCGTTTCTGCTGTATCTTTGTAACTTGTGAAGGATTTTGATTATTAAGAAGAGAAAATTTGAGCGATTATCTTCAGGAGTGGCAGAATCAAATATGATGATGAAGGAATAGTAATATACAAATGAAATAAAGTTCTGTGTGTTCGAACAGTTTACTTTTCTCTTTTATGGAGTAGGAAACGTCTTGGGAAAGTATTGAAGACCCTTGGCTAAGACCAGATATGAAGGAGAACATTAGAAATATCTCTCAAAGGGAATAGTTGCTTTCAAGTAAAGAGAATTTTGTAGGGTAAAGCTTATTTTCCTTAATAAAATTTTATGTGCATTCTTCTGAACAATGCTTTTGATTGTTGAATATAATAAAATACACTTAAGAGTTGAGCAAATCTTTTATAGTTGTGTACCCTTCCAAAGGAACTTAATTACATAATAATCCATAAAGTATAACAGTAGTGACAATATAAAAATGAAAAACGTTTTTATATTCTCACAGAATCTGGCAGACTGATGATCCAACCTATATATGCCTCCCTACTGGAGAAGAAATTGTTCCTAAAGCTTTAACAGTCCACTACAGTTTTCATCTGCCTCAAACACTTTATTTTTTTAATTATTAAAAATATTTTTTTAATGGAGGTATTGGGTTTATTGAAGCCAGGACCTTGTGCATGCTAAGCATGTACTCTACCACTGAGCTATATCCACCTCCTGCCTCAAACACTTCAACACTTAAAACTTTTTTCTAAGGTAACTTTGCCCTCCTTGTTACTAGAACACAGCCTTTTCCTAACTGGTAAGGAAAAAACAATATTTTATGTATTTATATTTTTATAAATAATATGGTGTTTCCTTGAATGTTATATGTCATAAAACATATGAAAACTTCTAAATATTGCATAAATATGTAAAAGGAAATATATTAAAAATAATAATGCCATACGGTGTGTCCTTGAATTAAAGAACTGAGTTGTCTAATCCTAGCTAGCAGTAAGCTCTGGTTCTGATATCTATTGTAACATGTGAATTAATGTCTGTTATTTGCAGAGTAATATTTGGATGTGTTGATTGCTATATTCCCAAACAAATGATTAATTTATTTAATTGGCACCTAGGGTGCCCTTAAGGGGCTGTTAGGATATAGCCAAGCTGTTGAACTTAAACTTGAATTCTGATTCTGCTTGGGTTGTTGGGGCATTGTGTACGAGAAAGCATTCTATTGTTGACATTCTTACAAGGTGGTTCTGCAGGGTGGAATCCTCAATTCTATCCTAAATTTTAAAGATGCCTCTGACTATTTAATCACTAAAGGTTAAAATTATTTTGAGGGGTATCTATTCTCAGCAGAATTCACATGATGTATTTTCCAGAATAAGATCTGTGTCAATGGATATAGCATGTTACTGTCCAGATTTATATATAATTCAGACCATTAATGAGATCAGATTTTTTTGGTTATGTCTATATATATATATATATATATATATATATAGACATATATATAATACACACACATATACATATATATATCTCAGAGGCATCTCAAATTCAGTAAATCCAATTCACACTCATTATTTCTTCCTTAAGAGGCTCATCCTCCACTGTTCTCCAGCTCAGTGGATGACAATTGCCCTAGTCAAATTGGGCAGTCATTTTGCACCTCAGTATCCTGAATCTCTCATATCCAGTCACTTCCCAAATTCTATGAACATTCTTTATTTAATATCTAATATCCTACATGCCCACCCACTTCTTTCAATCTACCTTTATTTAGGCCACAGTCGTGTTGATTTTCAGCTTAAAACCATCTACTGGATTGCCACTGCTCTTTAAAGAGAGATCAAAAGCCTTGACATGGTCTACAATGCCCTGTCCCTGGTCCTGTCTACCTTCTTCACCTAGTTCAACAGATCTTTCTTGTCTATCTTCTTTCCAAAAACACTGGACTTTGCTCAGATTCTTGAATGCTCCATGATTCTTCCTGCCACTTCACGTGGGAGCCTCTTCTTCTCTTCCCACCTCTCTTTTTTTGCTAATTAAATTCATCTCGTCCTTGAAGGCTTGACTCAAAAGTCACTCCTTCAAGAAAGCCTCTAATTGCTCAGGGCAGGTCAGATTCCTCTGCCGTATGCTCATGTTACTCTATGCTTCTCCTTTGTACATTTGTAACATATCAGTATTGTAATGAAATAATTCATTATATGATTAATTGCTTGGTGTCTATGAATTTCAAAACGGTAGAGGCTGTCTCTTTTTTTAATATTTTAATGGAAATATAGTCAGTGTACAATGTTGTGTCAATTTCTGGTGTTCAGCACAATGCTTCAGTCATATAGGAATATACATATATTTGTTTTATATTCTTTTTCACCATAAGTTACTACAAGATATTCAATATAGTTCCCTCTGTTATACAGTATAAACTTGTTGTTTATCTATTTTATATATATTAGTTAGTATCTACAAATTTCGAACTCCCAATTTATCCCTTTTCACCCCCCTTCCCCACCCTGGTGACCATAAGTTTGTTTTCTACGTCTGTGGGTCTGCTTCTGTTTTGTAAATAAGTGTGTCTTTTTGATAGTCATATATCCATTGCCCAGATCACTGCCTTACACATAGTAGGCACTGAATAAATATTTGCTGAGTGAACGGCTACTATGTATAACTATATACAATTGTACTTGACTCTATATATAATGTATATATAAAACTTAATCTGCATAGTCATTTATATAGTCATTATACATATAGTCATTATACATATAGTCATATATTACATGGCAACTTATACATTATAGCCATATTTTTATTTTCAAATTAATACGTTACATTTTTCATTTAGGTATTGATGTTGATCATTAAAGAAAACTGAAAGTTTTAAAAAGAAGACCCTGTAAAGTCTTTGGATTATACTGAAACTTGGCTAAGATGGCCAAGTATGGTGAACACGAGGCCAGGGCTGACGATGGGCAGAACGAGTTCAGTGACATCATTAAGTCCAGATCTGGTAAGTGATGGAAGCTTAAGAATGTGATTTATTTTTATGCATAAACTACTTAGAAGTTTTTTCCGGCTTGTTTTGTACTACTCTTGTAAGGCAAACTTCTTTTGAGAAACGTAATTCTGACACATGACTACTATACTGTACAAGGTAATAGAATATCTCTGCGTATCCTATTTTAATTTCTCAACCCAACTTGGTCTCATGGTATGTTGACTGGCATTGCTTGCTTGGTGAAACTGCCACCCATAGTTGAATACTGTTCATTTATAAGGCTGCCCCTTGAACACAAAAATGCAGCTTAAAAAATGAGGCTTAAAGTAGGAAGTGTCCCCAACAGGTATCCCCCTACCTGTGCTTCCCTTTTTGAAATTTCTTACGAACCTTCTCAAGGAACAGTTTTCACCTAAATAATCTAATAAATTAGACTAAAACAGATTAATAGTTTTCATATACACATTTAAATTGAGAATGTCCTCCAATTTTTGTATAAAACCAAGTGCTTTTCGATTCTGGCTGTATAAATGAATCAACTGAGAAGTCTTTTTTTTTTTTTTTTAAATGCAGATGCACTGGCTCCACTTCAGACCTGTTGAATAAACATTTCTTTGTTTTTAAAAAGATTCAAATACGATCTGAGGTAGACTCTAAGGGGTGATATTTTTGAGTAGCCAAGGCCTTTGTAAGTTTTGAAAATTACACAGAACTCCACCCTGGGTGTGAACACTGTACTTAAGTAACTTTGAGAGTTACTTTGGGATATAAACTTACATCCAGTGTCATTTTAGAACCACAAAAGGAAACTAAAGTCTGCTTGTGCTGTATGAACCATCTTTATATTATGCTAGGAAGTTATTTCTTATTTATGAATCTGCAGAAATATGCCCTGAAAAAAAAGAAATATGTACTGAAAATCAGCTCTAAATTAACAGAGATACACATTTAAGATACACATTTCCCTCCGTGAGACTGGTGTCGGTTGACTGGTAAAGATTTTGGTTATTACAGTCTTGGCTCTACATATGTAGCTAAGTATTATGTAACTTGAAGTATCTTTTAGGGGTACAGCTTAGTACCCTATTTTAAATTATGCTCCGAGGATGTTTTATTCCTCCCAAATTCTTTTTGTTTGAAATTCTTCAGTAGCATAAAGTACTATGTAGATATAAGAGATTATTAATGTAGCATACAGAATGTATATCTAGAAATATGTAAATGTAACAAGGAGGAAGATTAAAGTGAGACAATGTAATGTATCCCTGCTTGTCATGATCTGTAAATTGTGAGGAGTTATGTTCTTAAGTAGTTTTCTGAGTCAACCTCCATTATAGTAAGCCCTTTGCTATTTATAACTATATACTTTAGCCATGTCCATAAAAAAGTAATTATATAAATTAAAAAGTACTAGGTATATATATATGATGAGTACACATAACTTCGAAACTATTCCTTAAATTAAAAATGGTCATTTAAAAAGACTGACTTATACACTATTGAGGGATAGTTGGGTAGAAATTATGACGTATTTTTAACGTATGCATGCTAATTGGCTGAGTAGCTTTGTGTTTGGAGTTTTCTTCCTAGGGAACACACAAAAATATACAAGCAATAAGTTGATCATAGCATTTTTATTACAGAAAAAAATTGGAATCACCATAAAAATCCAATATTGAAAATTGAGTAAGTCATAATTTAGGGAGTATTTATAAAGTAGATTATACATTCATAAATATATACATATGAACATAAAAGTATGTTCTTGATATTGTTAAGTAAAAAATGTGTGCAATATGAAGTCATTTATGTGAAAAATATTTTTTCAAAAAAGTTTATCAGAGTGTACACTAAAATGTTAATAGTGCTCATCTTGACATTTGGGGATTGTTTTTCTCTTTTTGCTTATATGTACTTTCTAAAACTTTTCAGTGAGGCTGTATTACTTCTTAATATTTTTAAAGACAAATTGCTCTGAGTGTTTTAATGCCAAGGCAGTGACTATTACTTCTTTTTTTGATGGCACCTACTTCAAAACACATTGAAAAGATAGCTGTTGCATTGTTGAGATCTGAATCACATTCTTTCAGCTGGATTATGTTGCAAAAAGTAGGTAAATTTGGGTTTGAATGGGCCTGTTTGTTCCAGTCTTGCTTTCTGGAAGGCACTGTTTTGATTCTTTTAAGGTAAATATTCATATAGTGGTCATTTCTCATGGTACTCTAAAATTTACACATTGAAGAGGGATTTTTAGTTCAGAATAAGTCAAAGGAATCATCTACCTATAATATATATTTTTAGAAGTTCTTCCTTGAACGTGTTCTGTACTGAATTTGTTGCTTTTTGGTTTTTTTTAAAGGAGTGTTTTCCTGTTAGAGAATTTTAATTCTAATCTGTTCCTCTAGGTTTCTTCCTTCTGGGGGACTGGTTGTGGGGTAAGGGGTAGAGCTTGGGATGGGAAAGAATTAATGTTGAGAGTATACTGATAAACTTGATCTCTTGGTTTATGAAGATTCTTTTTCCTCCTGGAATCCTTGGGTTTGAACAGTCTAAAGCCTGGTATTATAAAAATATTTTAAAATATATATGCATTTTATGTTAAGGTATTAGGATTGTTTATATTGCCCTCATTCAATGTGAATTTGCTTTATGCTCTGTGTGAGATTTAATCATTTTTAAAGTTATTTTCACCATCTAAACAGAAATTTGAAATATCAAGAGTAGATAATGAAATAGCTTCATGAATATAAAACTTACACATTTCTTTATGGTTGTAGTACATTTGCCTTGGATTTGAGTGAATTATAGAGAAGAACTGGAAAGAATATGACCTTTATAATTTAGGGGTTGGGGCTGGGTTAAAGTAGTTCTTTCTCTAACTTGAAGACATACAAGTCAAGTTCATCCATCATCAATGAGTGCATTTTTGACAGCCTGAATCAGTGGGCTTCAGAAAGCTTAACAATTTAGTAAATATTTTGAGAGTAGGCCAAGAATAAGAATTTTTTTTAAGTGAAATATGTTGTCAATGGAGTCTGTAATGCATAAACTTCTGCTTGGAACATTTTAAAGGTGAAATAATAAAATGATTTGAAATACATGTAAAATCAAAGGATAGCCTTGCTGCTATTTTATTCTGTCAATAGCTGACACACTTTCATGCCAGTAACGTAGAATAAGTCAATCTTTTCTGTTCTTCTTAGCGCTGTTGTGTTAAGTTTTAGCTCAGAGTGCCCTAAAGAGGGTAGACCTCAGGGCTAAAGGCTGTGGCAGCTAGCTCCAGGTGGGGGTTTGGACTATTAGGGATTTGAATCATAGACTCTCAGAAGGGAAAGGGCCATTTGTTGAATGAATTGTCAGTAAACTTTACATCTTTGTATGATTCAAAGCATTCTTTAAAAAAGCCTTTGGGCAGGAAGCCTGAGTGTAACAGTTTTATCATTTCTTCCTTCACCTTTTCTCTTCTTGTGTAATCCTGGGATCTAGTTGTTGAGGGAACCTTAAGAGGCCACATGACCCGGCTATGCCTGTGCAGTGATTACCTAGACTCTGCTTGCTCACCTCTGGTGATGGGCTCTCACTGATGATGACGAGGATGATGATGATGATAATTACAATGATAATTCTAGCAACTTACACTTATTGAACACATACTGTGTGCAGATATGGTGCTCAGAGTTTAATCCTCATAATCCCTGTTTTACAGATGACAGACATGAGCCACACAGAAGTAATTTGCCACACTGGCCTTCTTTTTATTTCTCCAAAGTCCCAGTCATGCCTACCTCAGGGCCTTTGCACATTCCTCTTCCCTTGCCTTTGCCTAATGAGTTCCTTCTTATCACCTCTGAGAGAACTTCCCTGCTGACTTTAGAAAGTAGCTCTCCCAGTCACTCTTGACTGCCACCTTATTTAAGTTTCCCATATGCACTATATGGCACTTTTCTTGTTTTGTGTGTTTGTTAATGTACTTCCTACTAAAATTTAATTCCGCAAGAGCATGCACCAATACATCAGTGGCACCAAGCCCAGTGTCTAGCTCATAGTAGGTGAGCAAGGAATGTTTATTCAATGAAAAAGGCTACAGAGCTAGAAAGCGCCAGAGCTGAGATGAGAACTCAGGTGATCTGACTCCAGAAACCCTGCACTTGACCTCTAAAGAGTGCTCAGTTTTCTAGTTTACAAGGTAGCTTATTCTGTTGCTGCTGGATGACTTTTTCATTTTGTGCCTAAATCTATTCTTTACAAATTTTGTAGAGTATTAATTGTGTTCATACATCCCTCTGCCTCTTCCACTGTAGTTACAAGGTTGAGACCCTGGGCAGAGCTGCTCTAGACTGCTGGCTGGCATCAGAGCCCTGCCAAGGGAGAGCCCTCTGCAGGAGACACAACCTGCTGCCCCCCCCCCCCCCCGATTATTGGCTTTGGTCTCTGTCCTTCCCTGTTAAGAGTTAGCAAAGGGGAAAATACCGGAGGACAGGCAGTCTTCTTCTGGGTGGAGAGTAGAGAAAATGATCATCTGTTTCTGACGTGAATTCCCTTTTCTCTTTCCCTCTGCCTGCTGCTCGAGGCTTTTAACTGGCTGATTATAAAAAGGTAGTGGATTTCAGATGCACTGCGATCTGGCACTATTTAAGCCCTGGTCTGATGCCCAGATGGGTACCTGTGGCGTTGAAAAAGTTGGTAGAGGTGGGGGGTGGGGGAGAGTAGGAAGGAGAGGCCAGTGACATAAGAATAAAACAAATTATTTAATATGGAATATCATACCTGGTTACATTTATAGCAAGCCTCCTAAAAAATGCTATGCTTGCATAAAAATAACCTTGCTTAACAAGATGCGGTTTTATGAAAATATGAGGAAGGTTACTTTACTTGTTTATCTTTCAGAGGCCTTTCATTAGAAAAGACAGTGGTTACGTTGTACTTTAGGGAGTCACTGATCTAGTTCTTTTTCATTTAAAGAAATATCTGTGAGGGGATTTTCCTAAAGAGTTTAAGGGACTGTGAAAAAT